GATTTCAGTGATCCTAAAAGTTTGCTTGATCCATCAAATATTTGTTCGGAAAAATTGGTAGAATACACATTATGTGCTGTTAATTTTGCAACTAATCACCAACTGCCAGATCTTGAATTTAAAAAACTTTCAAATGGAAAATCAGATATCGCTTTGTTTGATTTCACATCAATTAAAAAAGCTGCAAATGCTGCAAGAATAGTGGAGAGAAAAAAACAAAAATTGCTCTTAGCTTTAGTAGGAGATAGCTTAATGGAGGTGTCAAGTTAGATTAAAAATATAATTTTTAAATATTTCTTTATTTTGATTTTAAAATTTTAAAATCAATTATTTACATTATAGTATGCATTGTTTTAAAGCGTTATGCATTTTATTTACGTTTTTGCATAAGCATACCTAATTTTGGTTTTGCTGCATGGTTTTTTGTTTTGTTTTAAAATAACCCTAAAAAGTTTTTGTTTTAAAATAAGCCTTAAAATATTTTTTAAGTAGTTTAATAAATGAAGTTATTAATGTTTTTAAAACTGCACATTATTACAAAAGAGCAATTTGTAAACTAAAATTAAATTGATAAAATAAACTCAAATAAAAATAAAATAAAAATAATAAAATTTCCTTTTTATTAAGATAAACTTTTCAGTTAAAAAACTCAGCAACAAAAGAAAAATTTTTCTACATTAAAAAAATTTTTTTTTTAGACATAAAAACAACAACTAGGTCTGTTGAAAGGTTGGGTATCAACCGAACAGGATCCCAACCTGACTTGTATTTATTAGTCTGGGTTTGGATTGAATATCAACAGAGGCTTTTTACTTTATGGGTTTAGGGCGTGTCAAATTAGCTCCAGTCGTGCCAAAACAATAACAAAAACAGTACATAGAATTTATGGGTGTGGGCTGTTGAGCATTTGTGTCATCATGGCTGCAAACAGTAAAAGTTTAATTGAAGTAGTTTTTCTCAGCTTTCAATAAAGAAAATACTTAAAAGCTAAAGTAATTAGCTATAAAAAAATAAAATAAAGAGTGAGTATCCAGCAGATTATTTATCTGGGACATCTTAAACAGTCTATGCTTCACTATTTGTTTGAATATAACTGGTCTGGATAAGACCCTTTTCTGTTTGGTTAACAAGTCTGGGACTGGTTGGTTTCGCATCCATAATAATGAGACCCAGATCCAGTTCAAATGGGTTGGGTGGGGTCTGGGTCTAGACCTGACCTATTAACAGCCCTAGTAGCAACCGAAAACTCTATGCAATTATGAAATCTCATTTGTTCTTAATTTTTTCTGTTTTAAAATTTTGACTTCATAGTGGGCTTATTTAAATACATGTAGAATAAGAACCATGTGAATAATTTGATAAAAATTGGTGCAAATGTAGCCTTTGGCCACACCAAACTCTGGATAAAATTTTAGTCTGATTGGTTAACTGGTTCAAGATGGCAGTTTTAGTTAAAATTTAATTGTTAGTTTTTTTTCAACTTTTAAAATGTTACTGATTACTGTGTTATTCGGTCACTATTTTTCAAAAAATAGTTACATTAGTGTTCTACTATGTTGTACCAACAATTTTTGTTGTAATTGCTTTATTGGTACATGAACTAAATATTTATAAACCAAAATATTGATTTGCTATTTATATAAAAGCGTTTGACTTGGCTTATGCATACCGTAAAAATCGAAGATATAAACTTAAGGTGTAAAATATAAGCTACTATCAAAAATGCTAAGAAATGGTTGAAAATTTTTTTTAGGGATACCTACATAAAAAATAAATATTTGTTTCTCTTAAAACAAAAAAGCTGTGAGGAAACCAAATATATTTTATATTGACTAAGATAATTGACTTAAAGTATTTACATAAGATAACTAAAATAACTAACTGCTTAGTTGGCCGAGAAAAATTAATCTTTACAGATTAGGTTGTTTTTAAATTTTTTTTTTTAATTTGATGGAAAATAAATACAGGAGCAAAAAGAGAGAAAAAGAAACAGAAAATCTCAAATAAAAGAGAAAGATGTTATAAAAAAGAATAGTTCTTTGAGAGAAAAAGAATGAGAAAATCTCAAATAAAAGAGAAAGATGTTATAAAAAAGAATAGTTCTTTGAGAGAAAAAGAATGAGAAAATCTCAAATAAAAGAGAAAGATGTTATAAAAAAAAGGATAGTTCTTTGAGAGAAAAAGAATGAGAAAATCTCAAATAAAAGAGAAAGATGTTATAAAAAAAAAGGATTTTTGAAGAGCAGTAAAAATTATTATTTTTACTGCTCTTCACAGAACTATTCTCCCCTTTATAACATTTTCTTGTAATTTTAGTAATTATTACCTTGATTTTAATAATTTTTATTTAATAATATTTGTAATTATGTTATGTGGAATGTTATCCAAAAAAAATTTAGTTTAAATTTTTTTAAAGATAGATTTTGGTTTGGTGAAATTAGATTTAGTGAACTGCCACAATAAAAACAGTTTCATATGAAAATCGAAACTTTGTTTGATTGCTCTGTCTAAAAAAATGTTTAAGAAAGATTACTGCTTTTCAAGCAGATCTAATCTGACAATTGTACAAAGCCAAGATCAATATCAGTGATACTTGGGTACCACGAGGACTTTGTTAATCCTTCAAAGCTATTTTGTAGAGGAAACAATAGGGGAAAGAAGTTGTACTCCCCTCTTTACATGATTTCAAGTCAATACAAGTAAGGCTTATAACAAAAGGCACAATGTGTTGTTGCCTAATCTGTCGAATTTATTGTTGAAAGGTCTTTTGAAGAGCAAACTGCCATTGAAAAAGAACTGAGTGTGCCTTACAGCACATGTTTCAGCAATTTAGAAAAATGCTCTCAAATTCAGGAACAACCTTCAATCTTTAACACTGGGCTCAATCAAATTTAGCCTTGACTTTTTTCAGCAATCTGGCGGGATTGTTGCGAATGCAAAGTTGTTTGGCAAGGTCGTTTGAATGGTAATCATCAACAGGCTTGACAATGTTCTGATTTTGGAAATCATCCTACCACTGGAATTGCATCTCCTCCAGGAATTGTCAACCACCTTTTCGAGATCCTTAAAACTGTTAGAATAGAATCTAAGCCCATATCAAAGGGGAGAAATGAATGCAGGAAGCTTTTTAAAAATGTGGATGTGCTGCAGCAACTTGCTGATACAAACATGGTTCCCAACATTGTTCATATTATTAAACAATAATTGAAGCATTCAAAAGTTTCAATTTAGTTGTTTAGGCTTGCTTTGAATTCATCCTTCAGCTGGATTTCACTGAATAAATATAAAAAAAAGGATTCCCCTTAGGGCTCTTCTGTGAACAAACCGTCTAAACTTCTCATTAAGATTTTTATTAACATTGGTCAAGTGAAACAATAAGCATACAGAGTACTAAGAATGATTTTCACACGCAAAAATGATCTGAAAAATAAGTATCTTTAAAGAACTGCTTGCATAGTTTGAGTTATTGGAGATTAGGCAGCAAAAATTCATAGCTGAACAGAACAGAAAAACTAACAAAAATCACTAAGTACACTAACAATAGTAACTAAGCACATTAAACATTAACTGTACAAATTATATTATGATTAATATTTTTATTTTAAACATGTTTAAAGTATGTGTAATACTTGTAGTTGCTAATAATGGTAGTTTTCAAACTAAGTGGTCTTTCTGCATTGTTTTTTTTATAGAACTTTTCTTTTTGAAAAAGCTATTGTTTTCAATAATTTTTTTGTTAAAAACTTTGCTCATTTAAACTTATTTTATTTCCACTTTTCATTTCATTTGCTAAAAATGAAATAAAAAGGAAATAAACATGTTTCAATATTGTACCATTAACACTTGTAAAAAGTGTGCACAAAAGAAAAACTTGTTTTAATAGCACAAGTGAAAACAAGCATATTAACTGTTTAGTAAAAAGATTGTTTTAATAAATTATACTTGTAAACCTAAATAAATCTTTACATGTGATTAATGTACAAATGATTGTGTCAAATGTCGAGAAAGGAAAGAATTTATATTTTAAAGTACCCAAAGCAAATTAAAACTTTCCGTCAAATTTTTCCACAATAATGATTCTACACTATTTTAAGTTTAATTTTTAATTAAGCTAGTTTTGTGGTAGTTTAGTAAATTTTGTGGCAATTTAGTAAGTTAGAAAAGCAAATAAAAATAATGTTGTCATGACATCAGAAAATCTGATTATACTTGTGCACCATGCATTTTATATTCATAACAAAATGTGATATTTTTAAAAAAAGTTTATTTTTGTTATTTTACATTTTTTTGTTATAATGATTTATTTAACATTTTTATATTAATTTTGCAGCCATTTTGGCCTACAGGATCGGGTTGTGGTAGAGGGGTACTTAGTGCTCTTGATGTTGCATGGACAGTTTGCCAGTTTGCCAAAAATGTTCCACCATTGATAATACTGCGTGATCGTGAGAATGTTTTTAAACTTTTATCTGGCGTCACTAATGACCAACTGCAAAAGAACTACAATGCATTTACCATTAATCCACTTACTAGATATTCCGCCTTTGATGCAAAGAAAATTAAAAATCTGAATACTCTAAAAAAGCTATATGATACTGACGATATTCAAAATGCTGATTTAACTGCATCTAGTCCCCATAGCCCAAGATCACCCAAGAAAATATTTAGAAATCAACGATCTGGTGGTAAGTACTGTTAAGTCAAATTTAAATTAATAATAAAAAAATTATGTTCACAATTTTTTTTCAATATTTCTTTTTATTTTTAAAAGGAATAAAAAATAATTTGCCATAACTACCAACTTACATCAACTAACTTTTTTTGTTGCTGATTAAGATTTTCAGGTGGCTTCTTTAAAACTTAATTCAATTTTAAGCACAAGTAGTTTGTGTGTTGTGAATTGCAAAATTTTTCTGTAGTTTTATTAATAAATTTTGAAAAATTGCCAACCAGGAAATTTTTAATTTTTTTTATTATTAAAAGTTTTTATAAATTTAATA